GCATTGGCCATCGCCAATCGTTGCCGGCGTGCTGTGTACTGCGCTGCGCTCAGGCCTCCGCCGTCCTAGCCTCGTGCGCTGCGCGCCCTGCTGCTTGCCTGCTCGTGCCAACTGCCAAGAGAAGGGACGTGCTGCTTGCCTGATTGGCTGATTGCCTCTCTCTGTCCAATTCCATCAGGCATCATCCGATCCAGGTAATTTAATTTATTCTATATTTATATTTTTTTTGTTTGTATATTTCATGCTTTAGAGGACAATGCTCTGTATTTTGGTCCCTTCAGTTTTAATAAAATAGCTGGGGAGCAATGCTCCACAGTTTTCAGTTCAAAGAGAATTTACCTCCAATCATATATTTATTTACCTCCAATTTGTATTCTTCAGAGGACAAGATTTGGCAATCCCATAAGACATACGGTTCAAAGTGCATACGTGCAGTTAGGGCATTCTTATCTAAGAGTTGAGACTATTTAGTGGATAATCATTATCTCAAGTTGTCAACTAGGTAATTTACTAACTTTTGATACCTTTGTGTGTGTGTGTATTAGAGTGGATTTTCTGAAACGGATGGTAATTGCCCACCGGGGGGTGGTAGCTGCCGTCGTTGTTGGATGTTGGTCACGTGTCTTAGTAGCGCAATCTGATGGACGATGTTGGTGGTGACCCACTGACCTAGTACCTGGAACGTTTCTTCTTCCTCCTCACGCGTCTTCGTTTCTTGTCCTGCACTCGTAGTGTTCTTTGGTGGAACAAGTACTCAAGGACAGAGTGCGTTGGGTTGATCCAAAACCCATAAAGAATTTGGTGGGTTGATAGGGTTAGTGTTTTGGTCTAGTAACTCTGACCCATTTCGATGCCTAACACAATGGCATGCACGCACAGGGTTGGCCGGTCTTGTATGCTACAGCCTGCTATCCAGAGGTAGTCGATATGAAGTAGCCTGTCATTACGCGGCGTGCTGCTGCTGCCTGTATGCTTCATTCGCCATCCAAACTTTGCAGCGGCCGCAGTCTGCAACCCCTCGAAGGACTGCTGCATGCAGTCCACCACGGCACATATCATCCTGATTCCCCCCACAACCACAAGCATCCTGAATTATGGCTAATGATTTGAGTAATGCAGACTGCTAAATACTGTTCAAACGTGTAGTAAGATCAAAGAAACATGAAAGGTGTTGCTGCATGTTCACAGGTTCTGGCGTCTACTTAGATTTTCTTTATTTTGAAGGCACCTGTTGGGTCTCTAGACTTCAGAGTCATTTCTTCAAAGGACAAAGAGGTCATGGGTGGATTGCTGAACAAATGTGATGAAGGTCCCTGACAACCACGTGGCTTTTTAGATGTCCTTGTGTGGTGCTCAGACACTCCATTCTCGTCTTTCTCACATTTTGTTTGCACAAAGAGTTCAAAATTATTTAAGCTTCAAATGCCAATATCTACTTAACCACATGTCCGATTTGTAATTTGTTTTCATCATAAATTTTTTTATGATTTTATCTACAAAATAAGATCCCACATAACCATATTTCAACGAAGAAAACAACAATTACCAGAGAAAAATGTCCCCCCACAACCAAAGAAACGTTTTGGGAAAACATTATGTACCCTACTGAACAAGATTTGCTGCAGCTTAATTTAGAAAAAAATGCTTTAGAAACAAGTACGATGTCACACTGTAATGAACTTGATTGGATGAAAATCAGGTAACTAGAACAAAAGGGACTACGACAACGCCACAGCCGTCTTTGCACTTTTCTCAGCTCCCCTTCACCCATGCAGGTGGGGACCAGCGTCTCACATCCATCTCGTGCCCCTGGTTCAGAATCACCACTGAAAAGGCTGCTCGGAGTTCAAAATTTTTAGATAATCAAGCTTCAACTGCTAATATTTTTTTAACCATATATCCTATTTGTAATCTGTTTTCACCTCAATATTTCTTATGATTTTATCTACAAAATAAGATCCCACATGACCATTTTTCATTTGAAGAAAAAAATGATAACACAGCCACCAAAAACTCGGTACTCGTAGCTGAATAAAAAAGGCCATGAGTCCATGATACAAAATCGGAACGCACAGCCTCCAAAAACATCTGAACAAATTCGAAGGCCAGCGAAAATTTTCAATTTCGGCTAGACACGACCAAGCATTCGGCATGTTCCTGATTCGACCACACCATAAAGGCCTGGGCTGCGTTTTGTCCATTATAAAGGCCTGGTGCAAGTGCGGATGGAAATTTTGTGCTACTCTGCAGGGTGTCAGTGGAAAGGTATACCGCGCCTGGATGGGTGTGCAGAGAAGCAACCGATTTTATCTGCTAGCAAAGGACGAAACGACGTGGTCCTGCATTTTCCCAAATGAGAAAAAAGCTGGCAAGGAAGACCGGAGCCAGAGCTATCTGAACATTCTAGTGGTGGGTAGCTACCGCACCCAGCACTATGGGATACAGTAGCTTTGCCGAAAAAACACTTGGAACTGCTTTGCCAAGTGTAACACTCGGCATGCAACACACGGCATCAACAGTATCGGCAAAAGTAGTTTGCCGAGTGTTTTTTATCGCGCACTCGGCAAATGGTTTGCCGAGGGTCAATAAACACTCGGCAAAAATAAACTCTCGGCAAAAAAATGTTAACGGGATGGCACCGCACCCAGGGTGGTAGTTACCCTCCGTTTCATCTGAGTATTTCTTATATATATATATATATATATATATATATATATATATATATGCTAGCTGATACATCTGTATATATGTACTTTTATTTTTAACATATTTGATAGAATTCTAATTTGTTTTTGTTTGATGTGATCATCATGCTGAATAATGTCATGTGATGACAGGAGTTGGATGCGCTTGCCTTGTTCTTCACCTGAGTGGATGGAGAAACTCCAACAATTTATGGACATCACATTTTGTGGCACTTCGAGAGGTGGAACTGCTGCATGTCCTTGTCCTAGATGTGTATGCATGGCATACAGATCGCGGTCTGTGGTCTAGATTCATTTGCTTGCTGAAAGCTTTATCAGGGAAGGGGAAGGTTCAGATGTGGGATTACACAATGAGGACACACGACCAGCTGATGTAGAAGTACACAATGATGCACCACCACCAGCTGATGTAGAAGTACACAACGAAACAACACCACATGAAGTTGGAGTAGACAATGAAGAAGGCGCACCGAGTGACGACCGTGGTGCCACTAATTTGGTTAGATCCCTAATCAGAGGCGCTATACATGGAGAGATCAGAGATACTGATGACAATGAACAGCCGAATGAACATGTGAAGATCTTCTTCAAATTATTACAGGCGGCAGAAAAGGAATTGTATCCATGTTGCACGGATGCTACTGACACTACTAGAATCGACGAGTTTTCCTACAATTTTTAAAGTTCCCTACAATGTTTTGATCGTCCTAGGGAAAGATATGTTTCCCTAGAGTTGGGTGACAAAACCGTAGGGAAACTTGGCTTTCCCTAGGATTGCACGTTTTGGTCGGGGCTGATTCTGAGGAAGAGGCGTCTCCCTTGCCATGCTGGCACCTTTCCCTACGACATGGACACAATTCCTAGGGACATTGACCCAACATGGCGCTAACATGACGGCACCAAATTTTTTCCCCTCCCCGCAGCATACCGCCACCGTCTCGAGCCAATCTTTCTCCAGACGCTGCCCTTCTCCCGCCGCTGCCGCCACCGCGACCAATCTTCTCTCTCGCGCACCAAATCTTCTCCCATTGCTGCCCCAAAGCTCTCCCGCCGCCCCAATCTAGTGCGCCGCCACCAAAGCTTCCTACCGCTGCCCCAAACCATCCAATGGGGTGCCTCCCAAATCCACTGCCCTCGCTGGATCTGCAAGCACCCCAAGCCTAGCACCACCCAGCCCTAGCTATTCCTTTGCCCCCATCCCAATTTCGTGACCCAAGCGGGCTGCCGAGGTGGCAAGAAGGACCTACGGAGGAGGCGAGGAGAACCTTCTAGGGTGCTGCAGGAGGCGAGGGAGGTGCTGATTTGGATGAAAGAAGGACCTGCAGTGGAGGCAAGGAGAACCTGCAGAGGTGCTGGTGGCCTGCCGTTGCCCTGCGGAGGTGCTGGTGGCCTGCCGTTGTCCTGCGGAGGTGCCAGTGGCCTGTCGTTGTGTTGGCAAGAAGGTAGGAATTGGCAATACCGCTGATGCGTGCTGCTGTGTTACTGACAAGGAGATGTGCTTCCTATTTCTTTCGTGCTACTGAATAATGGCTCAAAGTGAGATACGAATCTACTACATGGATTTAACCAACAATTAAGATGTATATATTGCTCATGTGTGATGCACCTGTAGCCTTTATGTTGTGTTTTGCATTTCTTATACTTCCTGAAAACAATCAGGAACTGTTTAATTGACTTGAGTGGTGCAGAGACTATTGTAATTGCTAAATTTGTTTGGTCCTGAACTAATCTTTGGTCATTTCCAAAAAAAATAGAAATTCAGGTAGACTGGCTAGTGAGTTATAAGCTACTGAATTTTAACTAGGAAATATGTAAGTTATGGTGCAAACTAATAATTTCGCTTGATGGACTAGAGAAATATACCATTTCACATTTATTCAGATTCAATAACTGTGCGCTTGATTTCTTGTTTGTGATACAAAATATTACTGCACTACTAGTTGTCTGCTCATAGGCTCTACATGCTAATTTAGACCATTATCCGCTCTGAATATTAGTCATTCAGATCTGGAACTAATATACTTTGTCTTTCCATTATGCAAACTTCAGTTTGAAGTAGGAGGAGAAGATCTTGGCTTTGTAAGGAAGACTCAAATGCGATAAAGAAGGCAGGGATCTACATCTATGCTGCTGTGCAAGAAAAGCTTGAAGGTGAGAAGCAGATTTATCTTTTCACATCTCTTCCATACATTTGTACTAAATTATTAACTTTTTAGTAGCACAAATTGTTATCTATGGGTTTGCTCAGGGTTTTAGATATTGAACAGGGGTTTATTATTGCTACAATAACTAGCCATGTTAATAGAAGACCGTAATTGGATGTACGAAGGGTGGAATGACAATGGTTGTCATTCACAGGAGTGGGTGCAGAAGACAAATGCTTTTCTAGACCATGCTTTCAGTCTTGTTCTTGATTCTCAAAAAATTGGAGTACTTTGCCCATGTTCAGATTGTGACAATAGAGTTAGACGAAGGAGACCTATCATGAGCTTGCATTTGTGTAAAAGAGGTTTTACACCTGGGTATACTATTTGGACTGAACATGGAGAGAAACCTTTTAGTGAGCCCACATTGGAGAATGCCAATGATACTGCTGATGGTTTAGATGAAATGTTAGCTGATATTGGCGATGCAATGCATACTGTTAGTGCTGAAGATGAACCCACAGCTCATGCAAAGGCATTTTATGCCATGTTGGAAGCTTCACAAGAGCCCGCACATAACTACACTAGTGTTGCACAGCTAACTGCAGTTGCTCGGTTAATGGCAGTTAAATCACAACATAACCTTGGTGTAGAATGCATTAATAAAATATTGAATCTATTTGATGATGTCCTGCCTGAGAACCATAAAATGCCAAAAACATTTTATGAGTTCACAACTCTTCTCAAAGGTTTGAAAATGCCATATGTTAAGATAGATGCTTGTGAAAACAATTGTATGATATACTACGGAGAAGATATAAATAAGGAAAAATGTTATTTCTGTGGGGAAAGCCGATATGTAGTTGTTGAGCCATCAACAGGGCGTAAGCGAAAGCCAATACCACGTAAGGTTCTACGTTATCTTCCATTCATACCAAGGTTGCAGCGGCTGTACATGGAGCCCAAAACCGCAAAGCACATGCGGTGGCACAAGGAGGGTAGGCGTGACAACCCAAATGTTATGGTCCACCCATCTGATGCTGAGGCTTGGACACATTTCAATACAGTATGCCCAGAGTTTGCAGCGGAGGCTAGGAATGTTCGTATTGCTATGGCAACAGATGGCTTCAATCCATTTGGATTTGGAAAATCTAAATGTTCTTGTTGGCCAGTTTTCGTGATTCCTTTGAACTTGCCACCAGCTCTTTGCATGAAGGAGGAAAACATATTTCTTAGTCTAGTAATTCCTGGACCATAGCATCCCGGTAAAAATTTGAATGTGTTCATGCGACCACTAGTAGATGAGATGAAGAAAGCTTGGGCAGGAGTAGAAACCTATGATAGTTTTTCGAAGAGAAAATTTACAATGAAGGTTTCATATCATAATTCCATTCATGACTATCCTGGGTTGGGCATGTTCTCTGGATGGTCTACACATGGTGGGTTAGCATGTATCGATTGCATGGCAGATGTGGATAGCACTTGGCTACCAAATGGGCGAAAGTATAGTTGGTTTGATTGCCATAGAAGATTTCTACCAGCTAACCATGAATTTAGGGACCAGAAGAATGCATTTAGAAAGGGTGTAGCGGTTCATGACATACCTCCACGTCGATTAACTGGGGTAGAGGTGCAAGAATACATGAATGAAGTGAAAGATAAATCTTTTGATGGTTATGGCACTACTCACAATTGGACTCACATCCCATTCCTGTGGGAGTTGCCATATTTCCCTGAACTTCTGCGTCCACATAACATTGATGTTATGCATACGGAAAAAAATGTAGCAGAAGCTATTTTCTACACATGTCTTGACATTGGTGATAAAACCAAGGATAATAATAAGGCTCATCTTGACCAAGCCTTGATGTGCAACAGAAGACATCTCAATCTAGTTGAGAAGCCAAATGATAAATGGGATAGACCTAGAGCACCATTTTCCCTGAAAAGAGACCAAAAAAAGGATGTAATGCAGTGGTTTATGGACATCAAATTCCCTGATGGCTATGCAGCAAACTTAAGGAGAGGGGTAAACATGGATACACTACGGATAAACGGCATGAAGAGTCATGACTTCCATATATTCATTGAGCGTCTACTACCTGTGATGATGCGAGGTTTTGTCAAGGATGACATATGGGAAACATTAGCTGAGCTAAGTTACTTTTTTAGAGTCCTTTGTGCAAAGGAGGTTGACCGTGCCCAGATATGTCAACTGGAAGCACCAACACTCATTTGATATCGCTAATTGATTTGTTTGATTATTTTTGGAGGCACTGGACTGTGGTAGAAGGAAGGACTCCTTCAAGTGTGTTAACATGTTTACTGAAGAAGCAGCATCCTGGTTTGGTTCAGTACAAAGGCAAGACCATGGTGGCATCCACATGGAAACATTATCAAGCAGCCAAGGACAACTCTGGAAAATCTAAAGCTGATTTAGTTGCTGAAGGGTTTTGGGTAATTCTCTACTTCTATCTTGGGTACCAGCTACTTTCCTGCTACAGGTTCATGCACTTGTGCTATTAGGTTCATGCAAAGTCTGATTTTAATAGAACCAGCTCATAACAGTTATTAAGTTGGGGTCCTAGAGCTCTCTTATGTTTTTGCTTGTTCTATGCAGAAAAGGTTTAGATTCGATCCAGTCAAAGAAGAGGCTTCAAGAGAACATGTTGGTGTCTGCTGCTCTGTACTCCTGGGGAGCATCATGTATTATGCAAGAATTACAGCTACAGTAGAGCATTTTCGAAAAGTAGAGAAAAGAACAATCTGTGACAAAATTGCTAGGCAATTCTATTTGACGAGGGATGAGTACATTGCACAACGTCCTCCTTGGTGCATACTAGAATGCTGGGAAGTTTTGGCCACGGAATGGAGCAGTCCTGAATTCAAGAAGAAGTCAGAGAAAAATCATGCAAATCGTCTCAGTCGTAAATTTAAACCTCACAAAGGAGGATCCAACTCTATTGCAACAATACGACAGAAGATGGTTAGTGTTCACCTTGCTGATTTTCTACGAGATACTCTTTTGTAGGAAATAGACAACTAAATTCATATACATTCAAATGTAGTCCAAGAAACTCGGAAGAGAAATATCTGATATTGAGGCATGGGTACATACTCATAGAGGCTCAAATCATGAAGATATTACTTCACTAAACACAGAAGAAGCGACTTCATGCTTGGTAATTGCTAGATGCTGATTTTCCAATTTTGTAGAATTTTCATTTTACTTATTTTGCAAATGTTCACACAATCATATACATATACACACATTGGACAGGAAAAATACAAAGCTAATGCCATTGAGTTAAATGGACTGGATTTTGATTGGTTGCACTCTTCGGTGGATCCTAGAGCTCTCTATGAATGCACTTATGGTAGGCCACATGGCAAATGGGCCACTTTTAATGGGACCATCAATGATAGAGAAGTCCTTGCTGATTTGAAAAGAGGTCGTGCCTCGATCATGGCTGCTAGGCATCAACGTCAAGAGGAGGAGGACCGTATGAGGAAAGAAGCAAGTGATGGTCGTTTGGCTAAGGAATATGCCCAAAATATGTTGAATTGGGCAAGAATGGTACATACTCATAATGAAAACATGCAAAAGTTTATGGAGGTGAGATCTGTCATACAGCCCTATGTGTTCACTTTAGTGTCAATTTAGTTGCTTTTAATTTAGCTGCTTTCTATTATTAAACTGCAGTCGGTTGCTCTCCAAACTGGTATGCCTCTCTCAGCTGTTCCTCCTCTCATGCCTCCCCCACCTCAGCCTCCAACATATGCTATTTCGCCTACTCCAAATCTGTCTCCTGAAAATGTAAGTCTGCAGAACTTTTAGCATTAAATTATGAGGTATTTTGACATTAATTGAGTTTTAGTTGAACAGTGCCTTGGAATATCTCAAGTATCATGCTCACACAGAGCTAACTTGTACAGTATCATAACAATTATATGTTAGCTGTGAAAGTACCATAACAAATATATATTAGTTGCAGCAATCTTTAGAAAGCTATGGATGTTTATGCTAGATTGATGGAATGCTGGAATTTTAGTATCTATGGCCGTCACAGTTTGTTGTGTTTTGCATCTTTATGCTATATGTCCTACTTCATGTAGAAATGCATATGCATCTACTAAGCAAGCTGAGCATGTCACTGTGGATAGAGTTGGAGGAGGTAGATACACGGCAGTAGTATCGAAAAAAAAATGCAACTACTGCTGTGTCTATAAAACAATTTTTATGCACATGGATACATCAATGCATTCTTTACTGTTCAATACATTTGAAAACTGAACCTACAATTTATAACACAACAAGTTGTTTTTCTAAAATTTTGATTGCTTTACTATCACAGGTCAGTACCTTTGGCTCAAGTGTTAGAACCGAAACTCCAGATGAAACTATAAGTAGGATTTCTCTTGGAGAATTCCATAGCCATGCAGATGGAACTCCAAATGGAGTGGATGGAATGGCAAGTGGTGGAGGCACATATTCTCCTCCGGACGAAGCATTTCCGTTCTTTTGATTGTCATCGAACTATGTGCTGCAGCTAAGTAATGGTTAGGTCTAACACCTGATGGAGGAGATAGACTTTTGCAAGCTAAGTAGGCAACTGTTGTTGCTTATTTTGTTTAAGTAATAGTTAGGTCAGCACCTGATGGAGGAGATATCTTTTAGAAGCTAAGTAGGCATGTCTACTAGGCTTTATATTAACAGACCTATAATTGTCTTATGATGATATAACTCTAAATGTTCGGTTCCATGGATTTGGCCTTTAATTAAATCAGTTCTTAAGTTCCTATTCATGTGTGTGAATCTGGATTATAAATAATTTCGTAATAATATTTGAATTCAAATATGAATTATGTATTCATGATTTGAATTTGAATGTTGTGCTTGGGTCAGCTGGTTTCCCTACAGTTCAAATTCCTAGGGAAAGTTTCCTGTAGGGTAATCACCTTTCCACGTAAGCTTTATCAGGGCCATCTTAGGTACTTTACCGAGGGATGCAATTTCCTAGGGAAAGACTGTTTCCCTACGGTTTCCACATAAACGGTAGGGCACATCTCTCTTTCCCGTCGCCGCACTCCCTAGGAGTCTTTCCCTACCAAATACTCTAGGGAAACTACTTCCCTACCTTTTTCCGGCCTTTCCCTAGGATTCTCGGCCCAAGGGAAACTCGTTCATTCTAGTAAGGTCTCTTTTGTTGTGGAACTTTTTCAAGTCAAGTGCTTGCACGGTATTAGTAACAGAGCATTGGAGGGGGTACTTAATCTGTTCTCAAGGTTTCTCCCTAAAGGCCACTATGTCCCAAACACAATGGAGAAAGTGCAAAGGGTGGTTCGAGATCTAGGCTTGGACTATGGAAAGATAGACGCCTGTGAGAAGGATTGTGTGTTATTTTGGAAGAAAACGCAAATCTGGATACATGTCCCAAATGTGGTGAGTCTAGGTGGAAAACGCCCGACGACGGTGCTCATGATCAGTGGGGCGATGTGGATGGTGGCGCTAATACAACAAATAAGAAGTGTGTCCCACATAAAATCCTACGGTACTTTCCTCTTACTCCTCGGCTGCGAAGATTATATATGAACGAGTGCACATCATCACAAATGCGATGGCGTAAGGAAGAATTGGTCAATGATGGAAAAATGTGTCACCCTGCTGACTTGAAGGTATGGAAGCACATAGATAGGAAGTATGAATGGTTTGCAAAGGATGCTCGTAATATTAGGCTAGGTCTTACTTCTGATGGCTTCAACCCCTTTGGCATGCAAAATGTTACATACACCACATGGCCTGTTATCCTAATCCCTTACAATTTGCCTCCTTCGTTGTTTGAGAAACAACCTTATTCGATGATGTCGATGTTGATACCCGGTAAAAAATCTCCTGGGATGAATATTGATGTATATTTGAGGCCCCTCATTGATGAACTGAAGGAGCTTTGGGAAAAGGGTATTGATACATGGGATGATAAGGTAAAGAAGAATTTTAAACTATATGCTATTCTGCTTTGGACAATTAATGACTTTCCAGCATATGCGATGCTTTCTGGTTGTAGCACAAAAGGCAAATTTGGATGTCCATACTGCCACAAGGATACATATTATTTGTGGTTGAAATTTGGGAACAAGCTTGTTTGGGATACAGATTAAGCACTGCTACATGGGACATCATCGTTTTTTGCCCTCAGACCATCCATGGCGCATGAACAAGATCAACTTCAACAATGAGGTGGAAACCAGGGAGGTTCCAGTACCACTGTCTGGTCAACAGGTATTGGAGCAGTATGAAACTTTTGATCAAGTGAGTTTTGGAAATGCGGCATCAAAAAAGAGGAAGCGTGATGAAGATAAAAGATGGCACAATTGGAGGAAGAAGAGTATTTTCTTTGAGCTCCCTTACTGGTCTTCTTTGCTCATAAGGCATAATTTGGACGTGATGCACATTGAAAAAAACATATGCGAGAGCATATTGGGTACTTTGCTTGAAATGGAAGGTAAATGTAAGGACAACGAGAAGGCCTGGCTTGACATGGAACAGCTAGGGATAAGGCAAGATCAGCACCCTGTGATTGACGAAGATAATTATACCTTACCACCAGCCTTGTACTTTTTAGATAAGGATGGTAAGAAAAGTTTATGCCAATTTCTATAGGGAGTGAAGATGTCTGATGGGTTTAGCTCCAATATAAGGATATGTGTTGACGTACATGCATGCAAGGTATCTGGACTCAAAACTCATGACTACCATATTATTCTACAGAAACTGTTACCCTTAGTCATTGGAAAGATTTTGCCAGAAGATGTTGTCACGCCATTAATTCATCTTAGTAGGTTATTCACTGCACTTTGTTCGAAGGAGCTGGTGGAAGAAGATCTTGACAAACTTAGTAGTTCAATTAAAGAGACTCTTTGCCTGCTTGAGATGGTATTCCCACCTACGTGTGATGGTTAGAACGATGTACTAATTAACAGAGACATTTGTTTTCAAACTGGGTTTGCAGATCACCAAACTATATGAGAAAGGGGAAGCATGTGAACTGATGTATGCCCTTTCTCAAGGACCGGACCATCGAGCTCGTGTGTTCAATAGATGCTACATCAATAACTGGCTATTTCGAACGACTGCCATTGAGAGAAACCTCGTCACACAAAACAGTGGTGTGCTTGTGAGGGGTGATGGTACTACTGGCAACATGACCTAGTATGGAGTGATTAGAAGAATTATCTCACTCGAATTTCCTACATAAAAAGAAGTTGTATTGTTTCAGTGTGATTGGTATGATGTGCCGGCTTCCGGTACCAGCAGAAGTAGAGGATACAGTAGGGATAAATATGGTGTTATCGATATCGATACTTCCAGGTTCCGATATTCAAATGAACCTTATGTTCTGGCGACATAGGCTGAACCGGTGTTTTTTGTCAACCTCGTGAACAAGCCGGGATGGTCCAGTGTTGTTGCGGTGAGACCAAGAAATTTGTTTGCCATGCCAGAAGCAAAAAATGAGGGTGACATGAAAGTCGATCTACTTGATGTGGGAATCCAAGACATGAATTTAGTAGGCTCAAATGAGGATTTGTCTAATTGGACAAGAGCAGACAAGGAAGGCACAACTGGTGATGCCTCCGTTATTAATCAGGTGCGTGGCGAAGCAGTTCCCAAACAAGATGATGCAGTCTTACATTGACGATGGAGTTGTTGCACCAGTTGTGGTAGAAAGCCTAGAAGATGATTTCTTTGTTTAAATAATTATTTTTTGTTCAACTGTGATGCGTACTTTAGTTGATTCTCTCTGTATTCTTGCTAATTATTGATATGTCCAGACCCCAGAATTAAAATAAAATACAATGCACTATTCAGAGGTGTGACTTGCAAGCTTGAATTTTTTTGCTTTCTTCTGAATAATTTTTGGATAAACAAGAGCACACATTCGGCATCTGAAAATAAAAATGGCATTATGCTTCTATTTGGTATGCAAATGCAACTGTGCAAGTGCGCGGCAAACGCGAATGTGTGCGTTTGAAGCTTTCAAATAACTCTTGTTTTCCATGAAAGGCCACGGCTGGACTCTTTCAGGGTTTGCAAAAGGTAACTGCAGGCCGATTGGTTCCTGTCATAAGCACAAATATCAGCAAGTTGGAATTTTTTGTTGTTTTCTGAAATGCTTACAGCATGTCTTTTATATTGCTCCGTCCAGACATATCTTACTCCAATTCCCTTCTTATCGTCTTCTCAAATTTCTCACTGAGTTTCGTGTTTTTTTAAGTAAAATACCAGGAGCTTTCTCTTTCAATTAAGACAGGAAAGAAAGCTTTCAGAGAAAATACAATTTACACCCCAGGCTGCAGCAGCACAACAAACCAGAGGACAAAGATAAGGCTTCGACAGGCCTCAAACACAACCAAAGCAAACAAAGTAGTGTTATCATCTTCATCCTAGATAACCTTGTATACAAGTTTCAGATCAAAAATTACAATGTGCATACAACATCTTATAGCATATCTATGATCAACTCTTACAGATCAATTTCAGAACAAAAGCCATTGTCTCAAGTAGGCTAAAAAAACTGTACGATAGTCTATTTGGGTCCTTTGCAACCTCTGTGAGGTATCCATCAACTTAAGTTCACAACAGGCTGATGCTTCTTCCAAATGGCATGCGAAGCTCACTCGTGCACATCTGTCCACACTTCAGCAAATTATTGTTGCCTTCAGTACCTCTGCTGGTGTTAAGTTTTTCTATCGATCTTACATATCTGAACTGACTGCAACATAAAAGAAAAAATAAACATCATCAATATGTACTGAACGGCAAGACCTTAAAGGCTCAGAGGGTGTACTGTAACAGTAGTTTACATTAACATGATATCCTGTTAATGGAAATTGCTTTCACATGTGAATAAACGAATTACAGAAACAGGAGAGGGAGAGGGATTGGGCTTCAACCACGGTGAGGAGGAATTCATGATTGGCGTTCAACAAAATTGTGTCATCTTGTGTCATCAAATCCATGTCTGCCTGACCAAGCAATTTCAGAATCGATCGTGGTCCATGTGTGCCTGATCAAGCAATTTTAAAAACGGTCACAGGCTGCCTTGATAGGCAAAAAAGGGGTGTGTGCACCACTACAGTTGCATACCTAAGAACTTTCGCCGGCGTTGGTGGCGGAGGTTGCGGATCTGAGAGGGTCGAACCGCCCGGGCCGCGGTCGTAGTTCTTTGGGCCGTCCGCGGGGCCGGCTTCCTCGACTCCGTTGTGGAGTCTTGCTCCTCGACGCCTTTGACGACGGTCACCTCCGCGCCTTGGACGAGTAACAGATGCCCGTGAAAGCCCGGAGCCAAGCGCTAGCGGACTCACCTGCTAGTGAGCCGAGCAAATATGAGAGTCGCCCGTCACGAGGACGGGTCGCCCGCCGCAGCCGATCCACTTAAGAAAATCAGCACCGCATCTGTACAAGTAAAATAAACGCCGCTTAGTATCAGACAAACCTCAGTAACCCAGTGGTAGATGAGCCTTTGTGTGAACTCTATCTCCTGGGTTTGAAGCGCGCGTGGAACACTTTTTGTTAATTTTTAATCTACTACTTTTCCAAAATCCTTTCTAACATTGTTGCTTTTTGCTACTTTGACTTTGATTGATGAAAAATATTTTTTTTTGCTGTTTTCTTACTGTTTTTTCCTCCTTATGAAACTTATGTTAAGAAACCTTTCACTATTACCTCTACTACATGTAGATTTTATTCACCATGGAACTATCTCCACTCACATTAAACATGTATCACTACTACTACTACTACTACTGGAGCTGCTGCGATTGCAAAGGCGCGTGTCCTCCCCCTCTCGCCCTCGCCATCCTTCTCGCTGGAGCGGCCGCGATTCGCTGGTTGGTGGTCGGTGGTCGGCATCGATTCCCTTGGCGCTAGGGCAAGCCTCGCGAGAGGCGGCGGGGAGGGCGTCGAGGACGACGGCGAGCTCGGCAATAGGTGTAGAGAAGAGGAATCACCGAAGTCGATGTACTGGGCGGCGTCCCACGAGAGGCAGAGCGAGGCGGGTACAAGGCGGCGTCCCATGAGAGGCAGAGCGAGGCGACGGGGAGGACGTCGAGGACAACGGCGAGCTCGGCGATAGGTGTAGAGAAGAGGAATCACCATCGGGTGTCACGAGCGGGTACTCATCAGCGTCGAGGTGCATAAACCAGTCTCAGCCCTGGTCGACCCTCAGCAGCAACGAGGCGCCGTGCCGCGGACGAGGCCGCGCGGGAGAGCGTCGCCATGGTGGAATGAGACAAGCAGGAGCTACCTTCTTGTGCGTCGGCGCCACGCTGTACTGCTGCTGCTGCTGCTACTACTAAAATCTTGAAATACAAATTTTAAATTGTCCTAGTATAAAGTTTGTGATTTTTTTAAAAAAGTTTGAAATTACAAAGTTTTAAATCTTATAAAGTATAAAGTTTAAAAGGTGCTAGTATAAGTTTTTTTAATTTAAAATGTGTACCAAGTTTTTTTAAATTACCAAGTTTTTTGAAATTACCAAGTTTTTATTTAAAATTCATCTGTTGTCCGGTAACAGCATAAAAAAATAGATATATCGTAGGGCTCTTCGCGCACCTTTTTTTTGGAACCGAGCTAACTCTTTGTTTATTGGAATCTTAGTAAAACTTGTTCAAATATCATCAAATCGTTAGTGGACCTGGACCATCAACGTGATGAGACAACAACCAGCTTATAAGTTTGAAAATTTGGGAAACATGGACCGCTGTCACAGATCCCACCAAATTTTCCAAATGAAACGCAGTGGCGCCATTCTTTATTTGCAGCGAAATTCCTAGTGCCAAAACACCAGCGCCCACGACTGGTCCCACGTTTTTCCCTCCCCACATTACGTGACGTGACTATTCATCTCCATTCCTAATACTCGCTAATCTAATCGGGTGGGAGAGCAGATAGCCGCAGCCGCCAGCGCCAGGCGCCAGTTAGGGTTTTGGGCCTCGACCAAGGGGAAGAAGATGGCGTCTGGCGACCCGTCTGGAGGGACCGGCGAGAGCGGCAACAGGGACACCTTCGTCGTCGTCGATGCCCACACCTGCAGCGGCGACGGCCCCTGCGTGCAACACACCAACAGCTGCGTCGGCACGCGCACCTGCCTCCACGATGTCCAGACCCAAGGCGACGATGTCGCTTTTTCGGACACCTTCGTTCAGGACGGCGACACCTTCTGCCGATGAAGATGGAGGTGACGGCAGCCAAGGACGAGAAAGCCGCCGGCGTTCCTCTCAGACCGACGACGGGTATGGGCACAAAATATCCCCTCCCCTCCATAAGCGCACCTGGCCGGGCGGCCACTGCGCCCCTCTCACCTGGCTAGGCAGTCGTCGCGCGACCCTGGCCGGACGGCCGCTGCGCCGCGCGTGCCCCCTGGCCCTGCAACTGTGCGTGCCGCTGGCCGCAGGCTGCTGGCGGAGTACACCGTGGTCATCCCGGACGGCCGCTGCGCCACCCGTGCCGCCGCTGTCGATGGCTAGTAGAGTAACATCGTCCTGGAAAGCCGACTCCATCTTCCACACAGAATATTTAGATGGAATTTTCAATTTTATATGTTGCATATGACTTGACTTCAGCCAGGCTCCGTATCTCAGGTGGAATTAACTCTGGATATATTCATGACAAACCTCGAGTCCTGCTGGCTTTTCGTATTCTCTTGCTTTCCGGTTGACTGTTGATTGGCAGAATATTCTTCTTTGATCTAGCAACCAGTTTAAGTTCTGAAAAATACTGATTACCTTTATGTAGCAACCAGTTTAAGTTCTGAAAAATACTAGATCGTCCAGTTATTGGAGTCCATCGTAATAACTTTAAGCAAAAGGTTGGGAGGTCATCACTGATAAGCTATGTTCTGCTTTTGGTGCTACATCTGATAGTTCGCCTTTGCTCTTCATTGTCAATAATAATAAACAACAGATATCAAATGGAAAATGAGCTCCAAATAAATACAAAATAAAAATAATTTTTTTATCATAAAAAATCATGGATTTAACAATAAATTACACGATGGTGCGAAATAGCACACTGCATAAAGGTTATATATTATAATTACCAAAGTAGCTAAACAGAGCAAGATGAAGGATTAGATTTTCTAAAGCAATTCCACTGTTTTTCTAGAATTACCCACTTGACAATCAAAATGGTGGAATTGCCATACTCATTTTGGGATTACTTATGATTTTTCTGGCACTACTATATGACATTTTGCTGTACTATAGTCAGAAATTTAGACTACCACTAAGCTAGGCTTCAATCTGAATGAGAAATTAGGAAGATAGAAAAAGAACATTCCAGGCTCCTAGTACATGTACCTTCATTGGCTTCTTCGAGGCACCTACAAATTCTATTATATACAGAAACATATGTAGGTGAAACCATGAAAGTCAATGGAAATTTTGTGATTTACTTTTGTCGTCGTTTTTAGCAGGGTAGTGTAGGAAGTCAATAACTCTCGATTCATTGTAAATACTACCTTTGCTTTCAACTTAATAAAACGACAGAACACCTGCCATATTCGCTCAAAAAATTGGATAGAAGTAATGCCCTTCTCAGATAAAGAGTGCTGCATAGAAGAGCACAGTACAAGTGTTTTGAGCACTATATTTTACCCATACACAGGTTTGTTGAGTTTGGATAGTACCTGCAACCTTCTTGGAGCTAACCTGTTATCTTATGTAAGCCATGGCCTTTGCAGGTTTCTGAACCTCTATGAGATCTCCTGAGTTCAGACCACTAAACAATCTAATTGTTGGGTCTGCATGAAACATTTATTTATCAAGATTTACTTATCCAAGCAACTGAA